CAGAAGGGTTTGGGGGAGACCTTGTTTCCCCTAGCGCCCCCCAGGATAACAAGGAATAACGGCCACCACAAGTTGGAGCGTAGGTTCAGATTAGACATCCGTAAGAACTACTTCACAGTCAGGGCGGCTAGGATCTGGAACCAACTTCCAAGGGAAGTGGTGCTGGCTCCTACCCTGGGGGTCTTTAAGAAGCGGCTCAATGCCTACCTGGCTGGGGTCACTTGAGCCTAGTTTTCCTCCTGCCCAGGCAGGGGGTCGGACTTGAAGATCTACAAGGTCCCTTCCGACCCTACTTCTATGATTCTATGATAACCCTCCCTTGCTGCAACTTGAGCCCACTGCTCCTTCTTCTGTCATCTGCCACCACTGAGAACAGTTCAGCTCCATCCTCTTTGGAACCCCCCCCACCCTTTTAGGAAGTTAAAGGCTGCTATCAAATCTCCCCTCAGTCTCTTCTTCTGCAGACTAAATAAGCCCTGTTCTCCACAGAAGTCATGGGCTCCAACCCCTGAACCATTTTCATTGCTCTCTGCTGGACTATCTCCAAATTGTCCACATCGTTTCTATGTGGGGAGAGGTGGGGACTGGATACAGTACTCCAGATGTGGCCTCACCACAGTGCAGAATAGAGTGGAATAGTTACTGCCCTCGATCTTTTGTCAGTGCTCTTACTAATGCAGCCCAATATGCCGTTAGCCTTCTTGGCAGTAAGGGCGCCCTGCTGACTCACATCCATCTTATTGTATGCTGTATTCCGGGTCTTTTTCTGAAGAGCTGCTGCTTAGCCAGCCAGTCCCCAGGCCGTAGCTGATGCTCCTTGCCAAGTGCTACTGGGAGAGGGCAGGCCAAAAGATGCCCCATTTCAGTCCCCTGCAATGCCCTGCTCCACTCAGACACCCTGCCACACTAAGTGCTGCTGTGCTACAACAGCCTATCACCTCTGAGACTTGCCATGCAGGACAGGTATCGGGAGAACAAGATCTGTGTCTGGCTTATGGTGGTAAGGCTGATTGCCTATCAGAGGAGGGACAGACTGCAAAGTACCAGTCACTGGTGGTGTTGAGCAGGCTGCTGCTGTTTCCTTTAAAAAGATCATTTTCCCTTAAAAAGATCAAGATCTTTGGCCCAAGTCCTGTGTGCCTTGGGCCAAAGAGAATCAGAGACAGTGTAATCAATCAGGCTACAGGTGTGTGGGGATTAGTCTGCAGGTGAAGGGATCTTCCTACATGGCAAGTGTGTAAGTGATCACAGTGAGCCCTGTTTTTGAATGGGCAGCAATAAGTGCAGTGATTGACCATGAGTGCATGCACAGGAGAACCAGGACTCCTGGGTTTTTATCCACTGCCCGGCTACTGGATTCCTGCATGGGATTACTTCACTGCTCTGGGCCTTGGGGCTTGGCTCAGAGGATCAGACCCTCAGGGCAGCAAGAGCCTGGGATGAACAACGGACTGGCCAAGAGGTGCAAAAAATAAGGGGCAGCAGAGTCCGTTTTGGAGCAGGGCTAAGAAGCAGAGTGGGGAGATCCTCCCACCCCCTGCTTTTATTTAAGATAGCTCAGTGAGCCTCTGCCCAGAGAGGGTTGCTGAGAGGCAGCTTCCAGCTGCCTCAATTTCCTGTTTGTAGCACAATTGCCAGGGGTTACATGGGTCACTCACATGAAAGGGCATGAGCACCTGTTTGCTTCCCCTCCCCAGGGCCTCCTCCAGCATGTTCCACCCCCTGCCTCTGACTGCAAACCCCACCCTGGGTTTCTTTTCAAACAGCTTCCAACAGCTGGAGCAGGCAGAGGAGAAACAGTGGTGGTGCTGCTGCTCTCTGGTGGCAGAATTTGTCATCACAATCTTCTCTGGGCACAAGAAGGGGCTTCCAGCTCTGCTGGGCTGGAAGAGGGGAGTGGGCAAAGTGGGTGCTTGAGAAGAAGGCACATATGCACCACAGGCTTCATCAGAGCTACTTGGCTGGTTGGCCCTGGAGCCTGAGACTGAGGAGAGGTAGAGGCACAATTGACAAAGTGATCCATGCCTGGAGCTGTTGCAGAGACAGCATTGCCAGGTGTATAGACCAGGGGTTGGCAATATTTTTGGGCACAGTGCCAAAAACACCTGCAACCTTGACTTGTATGATGTTGGTATGCCAGGGGCAAAATGCCTTCACATACCACATTGTGGCACATAGGTTACCTACCCCTGGTAAAGACCATTGATCTAGAATGAGACATGGGTTCTATCGCCAGCTCTGCTCCTGCCCTGCTGTACCACCTTGGACAAGTCCATGTGCCTCTGTCTCCTCTTCTCCAGTCTTGCCTATTTAGCATCCAGACTCCTCAGGGCTGGGGATGTCTCTGCCAATGCCCGGCACAGTGCATCCTGGATCTCAGCCACTATGGGATCAATAATGGACAGTCCAAAGAAAGCACCCAAGAGTTTTGCTTTGCACAGGGAAATTATAAGATCAGGATGAGTCTTAAGTCCTTAAATCCTTCTAGGCCAAACTCCCCAGTGATCAGTGCTCAGAGCCTTGCAGAGTGTGGTCTGCTGGGTGTTCTGATTGGATAGGCCTTCAGGACTTGGGCAAGCAGGTACCACCACTATTGGGTGGGCCAGCATCCCTCCACTAGCACTGGAGTGATGCCCTGGGGAGTCAGACCCTGTATTGTCCCTTGATTATTTGTGGCAGGAGCTAATTGCATGGGAGAAGGTGGTTGCTGACATGGCTTTTTCTCACCCCAGGAGGCAGTGCTGCGAGGGCTACAGGTTTGTGATGGGCCAGTGCATCCATGAAAGTAAGTATGAAAAGGAAGGCTCTGGGACATGTTACTTGCTGTGTCCCCACTTGCCCCCTGAAGCCACTCATGTCACTGATTTTGCTACCCAGCTGAGGGGATTACTCAGTCAGACCCGCCCTGTTATAACACCATATACCTGTGCTGTGAGTTTGGCAGATAGTGCCACATGGGTTGGATGTCAACAAGCTTGTCCACTCCTCCTGCCAGAGCCTTGGGATGTTGGCTCACAACAGAGGGGCTCATACAATGCAATGAGAGTTGGACACATCTTGACTTCTGGGCCTGCCAGCCTGTGTCTCAACAGGCATGACTTTGGCTCACTCTACCACAGTCTATGCTGGATGGGCAACTGCCTATCGCATTTGATTTGGAGATGGGTTTAAGCTATAGAGTCCTGACCTGGGTCTTCCCCAGAGTTCAGGGACAGGTAGATCTGGGGTACTGCTCCAGACTGACCTAAAGGTGGGCAACTCTCCTGCTTCTCACCCTAGTCCAGCAAGGGTAGCTTTGGAAACTGCTTTTTATTTATGAACCTTGGGAGCTGCTACCAAACTGGTGGTTCCATTACTGAGGCAGTTCTGGGGCAGGCAGAATAGGGGTGGGGGTCACTGAGATGTGTGCAGGGGCTGGGTCACTTGGGACTACTGGGAAAGGCCTGGAAGAAGGAGCTGGGTTGGGGGAGTTGGGTAGAAGGGATAGATTGAAGTAAGGATCTGAGTTACATGGAGGTACCTACTCATCAGTCTCCCTTTCATGCACATGCCTAACCACCGTTGGACAGAAGGAACCAGATTGGTAGCTGATCTGATATCCAATGAGGTCAGCAGTCATGTGGATTAATGCTAGATGAGGACCTGGCTCGTAGTGGGGGAGGGCGTGTAGGATCCCGGATGTAGACCAGCTGTTGGGATGGGAAGAGGAGACCAGCCCAATCACCTGTGGGCTGCACTGGCCATGGCTTTCTCCACCTTACTGGACCCAAAGCCTGAAGGTCTGGAAAAGGCCAGCACAACAGTGTGAGACTCCATCTGCCTCTTCTCAGGTGTGGACGTGTGTGCAGAGTTCCCTTGTGAGCAGCAGTGCATGGATAACTTCGGCCGCATCCTGTGCACCTGCTTTCCTGGCTACCGGTTTGACAGGGAGCGCCACAAGAACCACCTCCACCCGTACTGCCTGGGTGAGTGACTCCCCTGGTGCAGGCCTGGATGGGACAGGCCCCTCTCTAGGACAGTGTTCTACCTCTTGCAAAGCCCTGGGGACACTTGGGTGATCTTTGCAGGACAGCCATCCCCATGGCAATCTAGAGCCTCCTAGAGAGCCACCGTTCCCAGGGGGATCGCTGTGCATGTCTCCCTCATGTCCTGGCCTGTAGGAGACTATGAATATCCCTGACTCCTGGTGAGGCTGCTGCCCCAGAGGCCTCCCCACCATGTGTATGCCCATGTCTGTGCTGAGGCTGATGTCTCTCTGTCAACCCCAGACATCGACGAGTGCTCGGAGGGCACCAGGGCCATGTGCGACCAGCTCTGCACCAACATGCCGGGGAGCTATCGCTGCCATTGCCAGCAGGGCTATCACCTCGCATCCAATGGGAGAACCTGCTTGAAATCTGGGAATGGTGAGTCCTTTGGAGGTGTTGTGTGGCATCCGCTGCCCAAGCCCAGCCCTGGCTTGGGCAGACAAAGCTTCATCTACCCTGCTGGAGCTCCCTTCGCTTAGCCCCATCCTGAACTCAGCACCATGTCTCTCCCCACTGCTGCCACTGCCCATGTGTTGTGCTCTTCCAGTGACTCCAGCAGCCCAATCAGAGATCTTGATGGGTGCCAGATCATGCTCCATAACCTGCGAGGAATTCAGCAGCATGAAACAGGCAGTCTCCCAGCTGAAACAGAAGGTGGGACAATGATGGGCATCTGGGCTTCTCCTTCCAAGCTGGGCTCAGACAGGCAGAGCAGTGCATGCCTTGTAGGGGTATGTGGGTCCAGCCCTAGGAGACCTGTGATATGGCTTCCTTGATGTCCTAGATCAAAAGGAACAGGTGCTCCAGAAAAGGGGGTCCACAGGTCATACGGCCCATGTGGGCAGAGTGACAGCTGGGAGGAAACTCATCCAAGGGCCGGGTTCAGGCCCATGCAGAGTTGATGTTGTTGCAACCATTTGCACCAGTGTTGGGTAGGTGCCATCAAAGGAAGTGCATGCAGAAGGCAGGGCCATCTCCTAGCCAATCCCATTAGAGATGGAGCATGCAGGGGAAGGGGCCACCTCCCCAGCCAGTCCTAGTAGACTGGGAGCAGATCTTTTACCCCAGAGACCTCCCAAAGGAGAGGGGTAGCTGCTACCACCTCATTCATGTGCTGCGTCTTCCTTCTCAAAATTAATAGCCACATCTGTGTGCCCCCGGCAGCTGGTTCCATCTCACTCCTAACCACTGGTTGAAGTCACACCATTGACATTGATCCCAGGGGCCCCCGAGCCTGCAGAAGTGGCTTAACCAACCCTTTTTATCTGTGTTTCTTTTCCTCCCTACCATCCCTAATTCCTCCAGCTGCTAGTTGCTGGCCTGGATCACAGCAGCGGAAAGCCCTCAGTGCGGGGTAACCGGAAACCAGCAGCCCCCTTGCACTGCTCTCCCGGCCCAGGGCTGCCGGGCCCACCTGGACCCCCAGGTACATCTCAGGGGTTTGATGTAGGCTATGAGATGCAGGATAAGACAGCTGCTGGTTTGCCCTTGTGTATTGGCGTGGATCTGAACCTGCACTGGGCTCTCATGAGGCGGTACCATTCTCCCACTGTCCAGACCTAGTGAGGATCCTAGTTACCAGAGGGAAATAGTGGAGCTGGGTACGAGCAATACAGTAACTGTCTAGGGGAAGAGTTGTGGATACGCAGGGCAGTTACTAGAAGTCCTGTCTCTGTCTGAATTCTCTGCTTGGGTTTTTGTTCTGTTCAGGGCAGGGAACCCCCTGGGACACTTATTAGGGCCTAGGGCAGAATGGATGGTGCCCTGTGAAGGAGAGTGGAGACCCATGCAAAGCAAATCTTAGGTAGAAATGTATGCCCCACCACCACCAAAGGAATAATTGCATCCTGCTCCCTCCCCTAAATCAAATGGCCCTTCTCTGTGGTCAGGTGAGCCGGGCACAGCAGGGGAGAGAGGGAGTCCAGGCCCAATGGGCCCCCCGGGGCCTCCGGGAGTGCAGGGGCCCAGAGGAGACCTTGGGCCGATGGGACCATATCCTGACTTTGCCCATATCAAAATTGGACGCAGGGGACCAGTGGTGAGTAGCTGAACTCTGTCACCATTTGTTGCATCATGTGTCCTGGGCCCATCTCCATGGCTCAGGAGTTCAGTCCACCATCCCCATCCAACTTGGCCCTGACAGTAGCTCCCTCTCCACACAGGAATCCTGCCAGACCCTCCCACCATTACTCTGTAGACCCAGCCTCTGCCAAGATCTGGCTTGTGGGCCCCTGACTCCCATACTCTCCCAAACATGGCTGGCGGACCCCACCCTCCATGTGACCCCTGCTCAACTATGGCTGATGGACTCTCCTCCACTTCCACATGACCTCTGCCCTCACTCATTCACCCACTGAGACCTAGTTGACAGGCACCCTGGCACCATTCTGCCGCTCTCCTGCCTAGTCAGGTTCAGGGGCTAGCTCCTCTCCAGCGCAGATCCATTGCCATCACCATTCTCCACTGTATCACCCAGATCCACTCAGTGGGCTCCTTCCTAGCCAAGCCACCAGGTCCATAGTGAACAGGCCTGTCCCAGACATGATGAACTCCAGCACATACTTGCTGCAGAGTGGGGATGATGGTGTTCATGCCTCTGCTAAGTTCCTTGATGTTGTTTCTCCTAGGGCGCTCCTGGGGCACCTGGAAGGAATGGCCTGAAGGTACAGTGCTTCACAGAGCTATTTGTGTTTGTAGTGCCCTAGAAGACACCAATGGGGTCCATTGTGCTAGCCACTGTACATGCTCAAATTAAAAAGCTGCTTCCTGCTGTGGTACTGCCAGCTGGGAACCCAGCCTTTCGTAAGGCTCTGATGCCTAATGCCAAGTCTGAGCTCCTGTGCGAGTGACTCATTTCCTTAAATGGTGAAAGCAAACATGATTGTCCAGTGCCTTTCCTCTTTGGTCATGGCTCATCACCAGCATAGACCCATTCCAATCTGTCTGCACTAGAAAAATTAATTCTCTGCTGGGGTGACTCATGGATAGGAGCCAACAGGTACATCCAGTGTTAATGTGGATGGTAGCAGCCATGGCTCATGAATAGCTAATACAGACCCTCTTCCTAGCCACAGCCACCTCTTCAGCAGTAAAACTCTCCACAAGAGCAAGTGCACTACCCAGTGATTGATGCATCCCACCCCAGAAGCAGCTGCATATCAGTGCTGCGTGAGCCATCTCTGAACTGGCCAAGTTTGTTAAAGCCCTTTGCTGTGAGAATCTGCATCTGGGTGAGATCCACCATTGCTAAGATAGCTCTGAATGGGAAATGGTATACAGTGAGTACAAAGCTGTTGTCCTCGTGAGCTAGCTTCAGGGGTGGATTCTTGCCCCGCAGCACAATCCAGGAGAAAGTTAACTTCCTCATCTGGAGAAGAGAAGTCATCTAACAGCATGAACCAACAGTGTTCTGGGTTTTATGAACAGGAGCATGACTTACAAATTAAAGGGTCTGATTCTTCCACTTTGTTCAGCACTAGGGAGACCTCACCTGAAGTACCATGTCCCGTTTTGGGCCCCACACTTCAAGAAGGATGTGTAAAATTGGAAAGAGTCCAGTTCAGAGCAACAAGAATTAGTAGAGGTCTGGGAAGCCTGGCTTATGAGGAAAGGCTGGACGAATTAGGGTAATTGAGTATGGAGACGAGAAGACTGAGGGGGGATTTGATAACAGTCTTCAAATACCTGAAGGTCTATTACAAAGAGGGTGGAGATGGGTTTTTCTCTGTAGCTATAGGGGACAGGACTAGGAGCAATGGCCTCAAGCTGCAGCAGAGGAAATTTAAGTTGGAGATTAAGAGGAACTTTCTGACTGTGAGAGTGGTTGAGCATGGGAACAGACTGCCTAGAGAAGTTACAGAATATCCATCCCTGAAAATTTTCAAGAGCAGGTTGGATGGGCACTTGGCTGAGATGGTTTAGCCAGAGGTGATCCTGCCTTGAGCAGAGGGCTGGACTAGATGACACTGCATGGTCCCTTCCAGCCCTACCTTCCTAGGATCCTATATTGTGTGACACCTCCCCCTCCAAGCCTCAACCCCCAGCACTGCTATCAGACAGGAGGTTTCTACAGTGATTCAAGTCATGTGAGCTGCTGTGCAACAGGAAACACATGACTACTTCTCCAGGCTCTGACGTATGATTTCTCTTTCAGGGTGAACGAGGATACCCTGGTCCCCAAGGGCCACCGGTAAGAGCAAGCTGGATGGAAAACCCACTTGCAGTGCTGTGTCTTAGTCAGTGTAAGGTCAGGTGGGTCCATGCCTTGCTCCTTAGGCCAAGTGAATGGGAAACTCTACTGGTCTGACTGGGTCACCCTTTAGCTGTCTTTGATGAAATGTTACAAGATGCAAGGCAATGCAGCGTCCATCCCTGTTGGTCTGCTGCTGAGTAGGTCAGTGTGAAGCTAGCTGGGTGGGTTGTTGTCACGCATGCCATGGAGTTATGTCCATCAGGTTTATGCCCTGATTCCTTTTAGTCGAATAGGCAGGAAGGAGAAGAGGGGACACACTGGGAAGCCCAGTGGAAGGAATAATTGTCCTACTCATAGCCAGACTCCCTGGTGTCAGTCGGTGAAGCTCTATTGAATTCAGTGTCTGAAATAAAGTCCCCTTAGATGGAAGACTGTTGTTCTCACAATTACCAAGGACCCACCACTAGAGTCTGACCAGTTTGCATCCATCCATGTGCATAAAGACAGTGGTGCAGTGCTCCCCACACAATCCTTTCTCAACAAAACCCTCCCAGCTGTGTGGAGGGAGGAACCCGTATGTGGCAGCCACCAGATAAGCAGAGTCCTGCCTCCCTGGTCCTCCCTGCAGTGGTGGAAGATGTCAGCCGCTCCTCCATGCAAGCATGGTCCCTTTCTGCCACACTCTCCCCAGCCCTGAACACCCACTCTGCCACACTAGCACTGAGCTCCTGTGACCCACCACCATTCACAGGTTGGTGAATTGAGATCTGGCCTTTATGTTTGGCCAGCACTGGAGCCCAACCTAGCCTGGCTCCATCATCCCAAAACAGTAGGACAATAGAGACCTAGTCACACAAAAAACCTAAGTTCCTTGTCTGCCCACAGGGCCCTCCCGGCTCCTTTGACTTCCTCCTCCTCATGATGGCTGACATCCGGAATGACATCATTGAGCTGCAGGAGAAGGTTTTCGGCCAGCGGCGGAGGATGGAGTTTGAGCTGCCGCCGGCCAGGAGCAAAGACCCAGATGTGCGTGATTTGGGGTCTGGGCAGGAGGAGTCGCTGGGACCTAGATCTGCACGCTCAACCACATGACCTCCGTGCCAGCATTTGCTGCCCTGCAACCACACTCATACTTCAGAGGACCATGACACTCCATGGATGCTGGACACGGCAGATGTCTGGCCTGAGGAAACTGCTCTGATCTGCCCTTACAGTTGCCTTCCAGAGTCTATTTATTACAACAGTCGGATGTTATTTTTTTACAAGCAGGATGATGGGAGAGGCTGCATTTTTATAAGGATGTTTCTACCTCCCTAAGAGTAAGTGGGACCAGCAGGATAATGTCCAGATCCATGGAAACCCTGGCTGGGCTTCTCATCAGCAGCCCAGATCACGCTGGCAGGCTGCCTTCAGGTGAATAGAAGAAGCATGTTCCCAGACCTTCCCCCATTGGAAGTCAACTGGAAGTAAAGTATTTAATTTAATTTGGCCATTGGCTTCTTCAGTCTGCCTAAGCTTCCCAGAAGAACTAGAAGTGGGGAAAGGGAGACAGGTGCCTAGGGTTCACATTATGAGGGGAAATTGGTTGTTGTAATCCACCCATCGAGTGCTCACAGATAAGCGGGAAGGAAGGAGTAAAGCCCAGAGAGGCAAGACAGTCCTCTCCCTTCCACCCGTCACAGGCCAGGATCAGTGGTGATTTCAGTGTGTGCAGTAGGCTGGGCCCATCCAAAGGAAAATTCCCTCAGTGACTTCAAAGCTGACTGTGTTTCACATACCCACTCCTAGCGGCATGGGAGGCCACTACCATCATGGCAAACAGAGCTGGGTCATTGGGAGCTCATTGGTTTTGATCCACAGAGCTGAAGCGTGATCCCCCCACTAGCCAATGACCCACCCAAAACCGTGGTTTAGCCTTCCCTTAGGCAGACAAGGTACAGCGAGCAGTCAGGGGAAGATCACCACCCATGCCGCACTCTCAGAATCACAAGAGGAGATCTTGCCAAGCACACGCCTGAGGATAGTCATCTAGAAGCCAAATGCAGGTGGGAATCTCAGCTGATGTCACCCAAAACTTGTTGTGGACTTCAACTTGTAGATTGCATGAATCTAGACCCTTCTTCTTGTCAATGACATGAATGTAGGTTGGTAGTCTTAGAGTGATGTTGTAGCCATGATAGTCCAGGAATGATGAGAGAGGCAAGGATTTTTGGGGTGATACCGTTTATTGGACCAACTGCATAGTTGAACTAAAGCTAGACCAGCTTTTGAATGCAAGGCATTCTTCTTCAGGTCTGCAGTGGTGCTTGTTTTCCTCCTCAGACCTGAAGATGAATGCTTGGCATTTGAAAGTTTGTCTGACTTGACCCCAGCTATGTAGTTGGTCCAACAAAAGATATTGCCCCCCCAAAATCCTTACTAGTCTCATGAATATGAATCTGGATTTGCATTTCCTTGTACTCACTTCTGAATTTGGTCCTCAGGCTCCCCATACCAGCAGAGAAGGTATGAACACAGGAAAATTAACAGGCTCATTTTCTCGAGGGTTAGCCAGGTAGACAAAGTATATGGACTAAAGAGTTTTTTATGTGAGGTGCGGAATATACCAGACATTAGTTTCTCCACAATAGTTGTCTGCATACCCACTCCTATCCCATGGCAAATGATAGCTAAACTGTGGCAATTTATCCTTGTTTCATTCTGGAGAAAGCAGCCCCACTTTAGCTTTCATTAACTCCATAATGAGAGTGAAAGTTACCACAAAGTTGCTGATATACAGTTGGTCCAATTCCCCACTTTTTAACTTGGTATAGTTTGTTCATCTGGCCAGACCTGGGGAAAATGTCACTGGAATATGAGCACAGCAACGATTCCATCGCACGCTTGGCTCGAATAACCTCCAGCTCATTGATCACCATCCGAGTGTTGCTAAACCTACCACTGTGCTACGTGTTAGGAGGGGGAATTCTGGCCTTCCAGACACCCAGATCCCCAGCAGGGGGTACCTGCTGGTTTGAAACCAACCCTAGATTATTAGCATGGAGGCTCTGAAGACGTGAACAGCTGTAGTTTGTATGGGAACTGAACTCTTGAGCGGGCTCCTGTGAAACAAAGAGGAAACCCCTAGTGCCTTCATTTTGCTGCTATACAAAAACCCTGCAGCATTCAGAGTGCTAGAGGGTGTCTTGGAGATGCTCTGCTAAGGCTCTGTTGCCAGTACCAGGCTGGTTGATCATTGTCAGTGGATATTCCAGTAGAGACCAAGGAGCATGGTGAGCCATTCATTGCAAAAGCCCAGCTCTCACTATTATTCTCAGTGGGTGCATCTTCACGTTCATTAATGTGCTGTAGTTACTGTAGCCAAGTACCAAATCAACATGCAGTAACTGGTACTACTGCACAGTAGCACCAGCGCATGGCTTTTTAGTGACACTAACTGCACAGTTACCTAATACTACTATGCAGTAGTGCATTAGCATGGGTTTTGCCCATCACGCTACTGTGCAGTGTTATTAGGCTACTGCACAGTTAGAGTCTCATGTAGATGCACCCAGTAGTATCTAATTCCTCCAAATAAGCAGAACACTTTATTGTGTCAGGTACTGTAGAAACACACAGGCTACATCTACCCTCTGGTTTCTGCTGGCCTAGCTATGTTTGTTGGGGAGGAGAGGAAGCGGTGTGATCCTGAACTGACCCAGCTGGACATGCAGAAGTCTCTGTTGTAGACAGTTGTAACAGGTACACTGTGCCTTACACATAGAGCTGATTTTGCAGGTGAGATGTGGGTTTACTGTACTGGAACGGCACTATTTTGCTGGAGGAGCAGTGCCGAGGCTGGGCTAGTGCACTGTATAGCAGTAGGCAGGCTGCCTGTCATCTGAGAATTTCAGCATGGCTCCATTCATTAACTGAGCCCCACAACACCCAGGTGAGCATCACAGCACTATCATTGCCCCCATTTTACAGAGGGGAAAAATCAAGGCACAGAGTGGCCAAGTGATGTACTCAAGAGCACATGGTAAATCAGTAACAGAGCAGAGGTGAGACTGCAGTTCCTGGTTCCCAAGCCTCTCTTCAGTCCACTGGAGTACTCAGCTTCCACAAAGCGCTGGATGAGGCCCCTAAACCCAGACTGACTTGTAAGCAGAGGGAGGTAGGAGTCCAGAGAAGGAAGGGGCTTCCCAAAGCCCTTCCTAGATTCCTTCCTGACCACTGGGCAAGGAAGTGGCATGCTATTGGCAGCTGAGCCAGGAGAGGGCGCCTGATCCCTCCATCTGGCTCCAGCCTCCCTTTGGCATTGGCATGGCCCTACCCAGACAGTTGCAAACAGCTGTGCTGCCAGCATCCAAGCGAGCTCTGCCCTTTCCTTGCAAGCAAATGGGGGTCAGTGGCCTGTGCAGGGAGTCATAAGGTGCCTTACCCCACTGTCGCTGGACCCCATCGGCTTCTTGGTCTTGCTCCTCTCCCTTCCATCTCCCACCCTCGTGTCCCCCAGGCTGTACCCTGCACCTTGACTGCAGCTAAGGGAGGGTGCTACCATGGGGCTAGCAAACCTGAACCAGCTTAATCCCAAAGTGCAGTTCAGAACAGCACAGATGCTCCAGGGACCCTGGGTGCATACGCTGGCTGCTAACCAATGCCCTTTTGTCCTCACTCAGGGGAAGAGATGAAGGAAGGGCAAGAGGGGGCAGTTGCTGTGGATGGTCACTTCTCTAGGGTTTCTAATGGCCTGGACCCCCACAGGGCACTGCCTACCCCACAGTAAGAGGACCCCCAGGGGGACATCTCCCCACAGTGGGACACCCCCATGTAGCAGGGTGCCATCCCCTATTACACTCCCCTTATGACATAGTCTGCCCCCACAACAGGCAGCACCTTTGCCCAATGAACCAGCCAAGCATGTCCCTCATGGCAGGGTGCCCACACCCACAGGGCAACCCGCCCCCCCCACCATTGGCAAGGCACCCCTTATTTTAGCACAGTCCCCTAGTGCAGGGCATCACCCAAAAGGGAGCCCCAGCAATAGGGGAGGCCACCACAAGACTTTGTCCCACCTCTCCCCCCACAGGCCATGCCCCCAGCAAATGCCCAGGAGCCTCCTGGCACTGTAGGTGGGCCCCCCCCAAAAGATTTTGCCCCTTCCTCCAGGAAATGGTCTCTGCACCCAGTCTTCATTGCCAGGCAAGCAAAATCAAGTGGCACAGGAAGACTTGCCTCTGCTACAATCACCCCCTGCTTTGCTGTGTAGAACCCCCCTAAGCATCTCCTCCCTCCCTTATGGGGAGCTTGCAGGCCTTGGAGAAGTGCACCCAGCTCTGCAGCGAGGGGGCCCCTGCTATCCACTCCTCCAGGGCAATTGATACCATGCACAGAGGGAGAAAAGGGGCCAGCCCTGCAGAGCCAGCAGGAGGAAAGACTGGTTTGAAGCAGCTCATTGAGCCGGGAGCTCTTTACAGCCAGAGCTTTGCGTGCAGAAAGCTCTTTTATCTCTCTATCTTCCCTTCTCCACCTCAGGACAGACTCCGTCCTCGCACGCTTTCCTTCCCTCTCTAATTAACATGGTACTTAATTGTACCTCTGATTACTTGGTGCAGCCAAGCAAAGCACTGCCTCCTCTCCAGATAGAGAAAGGAGAGAAGTCAATAGCTGGGTGGTGGGGGGTGGCCTTGGACCAGTAAGAAAGGGCCATTAATGGGAGACACAAGGCAGCAATTAGAGGCAAATAAGGGGAATAAGGCGGGTGTCCGCCGATGGCACCTCAGACCCCATTAGCAATGCTTCATCTAGACAGGCTGGCAGCCGCTGATCCCAACCAGGAGAAAGTGTCTGTGCGAGAAACCAGGTTTGGATCCAAAACCAGATGCCAAACCCCTTGAAGTTCAGGCAACAGTTTCAGGGTCCTGGTCTAACTTATAAATAAACCTAAATAACAATCAAGGCCAATGGTTGGATATGGAATTGGGTGTAAATTCCAGTCCCCTCCCCTGGCAGCTCTCCACACACCCTCCACCAGCCAATTCCTCAGCTGTTGTAATTAAGTACAGCTTTAACCCCTTCACTTCAGCTAAGGATGCAGCTCAGTGCTGATGGAGGTTTATGATTCAAGCCCATCTCTGAAAAAAATCTTCACTTCAAGCATCTCAGAAAGACTCAGATGTTTCCAGCACTCTGGAAATACAAGAGCTCCCTTTTGTTAGAGAAGGAAGGTAAGAGAGCACTGAACTCAAACACATTAGGAATCTTCCTCCTGAAAGAAGATGAGGTACTGTCCTAGGAGAAATTCTCCATCACTCATCATCACTTTTCTGGTTTCTCTCCCAGAGGCTTTCAGGTACTGTGATACCTGAAAGCTTGCCTATGTCTATTCCAACCTTGCAGCTGGTCCAATAAAAGATATTACCCACAAGAATTTTTGCCTCTCCCATGACTCTTCAGACACTCGTATGGTTAAGGTAACCAATGATCACTTCCTTCTGTTCCTTACAGGGGAGGAAGGAGGACCCGGGCAACTATAGGCCAGTCAGTCTCACCTCCATCCTTGGCAAAGTCTTTGAAAAAATTATCAAGGCTCACATTTGCGAGAGCCTGGCAGGACAAATTATGCTGAGGGGAAACCAGCACGGGTTTGTAGCAGGCAGATCATGCCTGACTAATCTAGTCTCTTTTTATGACCAGGTTATGAAAAGCCTGGACACAGGAGTAGGGGTGGATGTCGTATACTTAGACTTCAGGAAGGCCTTTGATACGGTGTCCCACCCCATACTGGTGAACAAGTTAAGAGGCTGTGACTTGGATGACTACACAGTCCGGTGGGTGGTGAATTGGCTGGAGGGTCGCACCCAGAGAGTCGTGGTGGATGGGTCGGT